CAAAAAGAGGATCCTGATTCACGTATGGCTGGATCCAGGTGTTTAAACAGTGTTGTGGAGGCACGACCTTTTTTTCTCTCGAGGATCTGTCCTCCTTGTTTTGACTTCATTCTCAGACAAGCTCAACTGTTAGTTGCTAACAGTGACTCCTAGCATCTCCAGGCTTCCACCCTGTGGCACAATGAGTGACTCTGCTTATATTTCAGATGAAGTCCCCGGTTGACTCTCACTGGTCCCACCTGAGTCACCTGTTTGTTCCTGAGCCAATCATTGTGGCCAGGGTGAGGGAACTTCCCTGACTGACGTGGCCAAGCTGATAGTGGAGTCCCTGGAACCACGTGGACTGAGAGTCGTGAGAGGAACAGTCTCCCACAAACATCGGGGCACCAGGTCCAGAAGGCTGTGCTGGATCTGAAGTGGGTAGAACATAGACACCACTTATAGGTGCCTGGCCTCTGTGGGGCTTCCCATAAGGAGATGCCAATCCATTTCCATTCCCACCCCAATCCCAGTCCTAGAAACATAAGCACAGACAGCGCCTCTGTCTTGGATGCAGGACCAGTGTGGAGTACATGCTAGTGTAAGGAGGGATCCTGTTCTGCTCACCTGCTCATCTGTTGATGGACGCTTAGGTTGCTTCTCATTCTGGGCTTTTGTGGGTAGAACTTCTACGAGCATCCATGTACTAGTATTTGAGTCCCTGTTCTAATTCCTTTGGGTGTGTATCTGGGAGTCAATGCCCTGCCTTCAGTTTCACCCTCTCGGCTGTATCCATGCCCGTGGCCGGGTGGTACCAGAGGAGAAGAGATGCCCCTTAGCCCAGCAAACAGCTGATCTGTGTTGTGCACCTTGCTCTGCCCACTCCCCACAGGCCTCCCCCTCCCGACTCAGCACTGCCCTTTGGATGCACGGAATTGATGCATGACTCGTTAGAAAGACTTAGCCGGTCTTTGCTGGTTTTCTTTCCCTAAGTGGAGTTATTCGTGTTGATGTAGAGGCTGCAACATGCGTCTACACAGACAGCCTGACAGCAGGGTCCCTGGGTAAGGGGACCACACAGGGGACCCCTGGGTTGGGAGCCAGCCGGCCTCTCTCGGGTTGCAGAGAGAGGATTTCAGAAATCTTGTCTGTCCCTGTCCTGCAAGGAGATGAAGGCAGTGTGTGAACAAGAGGTAGGGAGAGAAAGGTCATTTCCTTTCTCTCTTTTATGTCTCTTTTTCCTTTTTCTGCACACCTGCCCCCTTAACGGAGGTACTGGGGATTGAAGCCAGGACCTTGTGCACGCCCAGCACCTAGTGTACCAGTGAGCTATATCCGCCCATCCCCTCCTGTGTTTTTATTGTTTTTTTGTTTTTTGTTTTCTTTTTCTGGGAGGGGAGGTAATTTAGTTTATTTACTTATTTATTTTTAGAGGAGCTGCTGGGGATTGAACCCAGGACCTTGTGCATGCTAGGCATGTGCTCTACCACTTGAGCTATACCCTCCCCCCCGTTTGTTTTTTTTTAAATGAATTTCACATAATATAAAATTAACCATTTAGAGAGTACAATTCAGTTTTATAGACAGTACATCCACGATGTTGTTTAACCATCAACTCTGTCTATTTGCAGAACATTTTTATAACCCCAGAATATTTTTATAACCCATACCCCTTTGCAGGCACTCCTCATCCTCTCCCCCAGCCCCTGGCCCTCACCACCTGCTTTCTGTCTCTATGGATGTGACTCCTCCAGGGACCTCCAGTGAGTGGGATCAGACACTGTGTGTCCTTCTGTGTCTGGTTCTCTCATTAAGCATCATATCTTCAAGGTTCATCCATGTTGTAGCAGGTGTCAGAATCTCCTTCGAATTCGTGGCTGAGTAATATTCCATTGTATGGATGATCACATTCTGTTTATCCATCATCTGGTGATGAATACTTGAGTTGTTTCCACCCTTTGTCTATTGTGGATAATGCTGCTATGAATGTTGAGTGTTCAAGTCCCCAATTGCCTCTCTCTCCCATATTTACCCAGAAGTGGAGTTGCTGGATTATAGGGTAATTCTATGTTTAACTTTTAGAAAAACTGCCAAAATGTTTTGCACAGCAGCTGTACCATTCTATGTCCCTACCTGTACATGTTTTTGCATTTTGAGAAATTGAAGATAAGCAGAAACATATGCTGAAGAGATTCATTCTTTAGATGCAGAAAATCTAGGCATTGTTTTTAACAACTTGTCAAAGAGCATTTAAAAAAAGAATCAGCAAAACAGGGACTCTTGGCTAGCTTGAGTGGGACATCCAGGGATGGAAAGATGTCTTAAAAAAAAAGTTAAACTAAAACACATATTAATCTGCATTTTTATTTAGAAAAGAGAAAAAGAGAGCGACCAGCTTCAAGCAGGATGTTTTCCCAGAGTGTCATTTGTTTGTTTTGGGGGGGAAGGTAATTAGGTTTACTTATTTGTTAGTTTTTTTTAATGGAGGTACTGGGGATTGAACCCAGGACCTCATGCACACAAAGTATGTGCTCTACCACTGAGCTATACTTACCCCCAGCCACCCCCCACCCTGAGTGGTGTTGTATGCAGCAATAGATCAGGACACCAGGCGATGCTTTGCAAATTAAGAGGAGAAACACACGAGGTTGGACTCTAAGGGCCCTGCAGTGTTGAGGATCTGGGCTGCAGTGGGGACACCAGGAAGTGGGTTCTCCCCTCCAGCCACCGGTCCCAAGGTAGACATTTGATGGATTTTGGCAGGGGATTACTTGGTTCTTCCAGGAGGGGAGCAGGGAGAAAATAGAAAGATAGGAATAAAATTTTCGCCCTTCAGAGTCCTTTTAGATCGGATACTAAGTCCTTGCTTAGCAATGGGGTCAAACCAGGGTGTTCTTACCCCCGCACTGCGGACATGTGGGGAAGCTCTGTTTTGAGGGCATCCTGTGCATTGTACGGTGTTGAGTAGCATTCCCTGGCCTCTGGGTCTGGATGCCAGGAGCACCCCCAGTCCTAACAATCACGAATACCCCCAGACATTGCCCAGTGTCCCCTGGGGGTGGGGGGACAAACTGCCCCTGGTTGAGACCCTCTGGGTTAAACCTGTGTAACTAGAATGAATAACTGGATTTGCTCATAAAATTAGCATATTTTGCCTGTGTTGATGGAAAATGAATCACTCAAGTCAATCTAAGAAAGAAATGGGAAATTTTATTCAAGCCAAATTTGAGGATTATAACCTGGGAAGAGCATCTCTGCTATGAGGACTGTTCCATCCATTGGAAATCAAGGCACAGGGGATGGGGGTATGGCTCAGTGGTTGAGCGCATGTTTGGCATGCAGGAGGTCCTGAGTTCAATCCCCAGTTCCTCTATTAAAAAAAAATATATATATAGGTATATATATATATATATATATATATAAATAAAATAAATCATGCTCAACACAAAGTATAGGACCTACACAGTACTAACAACTATTTGAAAAAAATGGAGTTGGGGTTTTCTTGGGCATGAAACACCCTGTCCTCCTTGCTTGGCCCTCAATAAACTTTTGGGGTGTGGGTAACTCTCAGTGGTAGAGCACATGCTTAGCATGCAGGAGGCCCTGGGTTCAATCCCCCATCCCTCCATTAAAAAATAAATAAAGGCACAGTTTAAATGGTTTTTTGAGACAGAGGGCTGAACATCAAATGATATATTGTTGACAGTTTACATAATCCAGACCTAAGGGTCATCCTAGTCACGTAACCCCCTTACAAGCTCTAGAAGAAATGTTATCTTTTAAGGAGCTGTCTTGCTGATGCTCAGAGACAATGGCTGTTTATGGTTGAGCAGGTATTCCGGCCATGGGGGAGATTCAGCTGATGCATGTGCAGATACACAGTAGCACAGAGCGGGGAGGAGAGGTCAAAGGGCAGAGAATTATGTTTAAATTTTTATCTTGCCATAAAATATTGATTCCATTTCACTTCTGGGAGACTCACAATATCTCCTTCGCCTACTGTACAGATAGAAAAATGAGGCTGGAGTTGGCTGGGACCCCAGACCGTCACTGGAACCAGATTGCATCTAGTTCTCTGGAGACACCCCCTCCGGATGAGCCACGTGGCAGCAGCAAACTGCACTCCGGGTCGTGTGCCTCCTGCCTCAGTACCTTCACTGCTGATTTCCCAAAGGCCCCAGGGCCGGACTCCTCCCCACCGCCCCATGGGTCTCGAACATTCAATTCAGCATTCGCCCCGCACTCCTGCCGGTCACGGGAACCGCTCTCAGGAAAGGGGCGGAGCGAGGCAGCGCGCGCGGCCTTCTGGGGATTGTAGTCCCGGTTCCGCCTCCGCCT